TTACGGCCGCTTTTACTTCACGGCCGCTTTTACTTTACGGCCGCTACTTTGGTGAAAATAAACAAACAATCGGAAACGCAGTACCGTAACCATCAACACAACCAATAAACAATTAGTTAGTAACCACAATGAAACCAAGTTTTTAATTTTAGCTCTAGCCAAATTTCCACATGAAATGCTAAAAAAAAAGGCATGATTAAAATTTTGGGTGAAGTATTTTCTTGCATTTTTTTCGGAAAATGCCAAAATTAAATAATCCTCAACGTTATGGTCTTCAGGTCCACCTATGTTATACTCTATGTTAAAATTTACAATTATAGTCGGAAATACCTGACATATCAGCAAGTTTTCAAAATTGATTGCTTTTTTAAAAAAGCTCAATGTAAGATACAAGGCAAAAAGTCGGCAATTTTCTATAATCACATTCTCTTTATCGTAGTTTTTGTTATTAATAATTGTGTATCGACCTATCTTTGCTGGATTATTTATTTGATCAATAAAGTTTAAAGCTAGGTACTGTTGAATTTTCTTCTTTTTTCAAGAACTAACACTCGCCTAAAAAATTTTGTGTGCACCTCGGCCGAATGATCTTTTTTTCAAAAAAGATCAACTTTACGGCCTTGATACACAAATAACTATTTTTTTTTAAATCTGGCATTCTCTCTATTATTAGACTATCCAAAACACGTGACACAAATATGGCCGACAAGAGGCACGCAAACATTTGACACAAACACAAACCATAACGTCATTAGGTTATGTCATTAATGATCATAATCAAATACTCATTTTCTATTGTGTGCGTCTCAATTTTTGGCCGTTTCTACCCAATTACGGAATCCCTATTGTTTGGGCAAGATTGCTCTACCTACATTTCACTTGGACACCCAGGACCTACCCTTAAAATGTGAAAATATTTATTTGTTGCAACTCCACCGTCCAGTGTTGTGCTTTGATTTGTATTGTTTTTTCACAAGTTTGCTCTAGATTTGATTGAAGAACGATTTTGCTGAAGGTAATCTTCATTCCTTAAGAAAGTTTGCTCTTGATATTGATAATATATTTTTTATGACCTACTTTAAATAATGGATACAGGAGCATCTACAGAAAGACGATGAAACAGGCAAGGAAGATTTATTACAATGAGAGGTTGGGCATCCGCATCCAATAAACAAAAAGAGTAACGACCTACGCGAAAAAAAAAATAAGAAATATACATATGTGCTTCCAATTTGAAAGCAGATAATATTAATTCATACTACTGTACGATTGCTCAGAAACTGAGTATCAAAAATAGAAAATCTTCTGGATGGGACGATATCTCAGTTAGGCTGTTGATGTGTTGGCGGATTCCATTATTAATTCTTTTCTTACCGGAAGTTTTCCCTCATTTTTGAAGCAATCTTGGGTAGTACCTTTGTTTATTAGGGGGGTGATAAGAATTTACCATCTTATTACCGGCCAATATCCTTACTGCCAACTTTGACTAAAATTGTAGAGTGGGTAATTAAGGTGGATGGTGAGCTTCCTTGATAGACATAAATTGCTTTCTCTGTCTCTGTTTCAGCAGTCAAAAAACACTGATGATACCATATTTCATCTCCTGGATGAGCTGTATTAGAATATAAATGACGAAGAAGTTTTTTGTGACCTGAAAAAAGCTTTCGATTGTGTCTGTCATGAAGTACTGCTTCTAGGGGTTCAGTACTTCAGAGGGGTTGGATATCACTGCAGGAGTGCCCTAGGGATCTGTTCTATTTCTAACATTAATAAAAATACGAGTAAAAACAACGAGTATCAAAACGCAAATGAACAATGAGCACTATTTTTTTTAAAAAAATTTCATGACACATTAAATGACACATAAAAAAAGGGTTTGTGTGCCTCTTGGCGGCCATTTTAATTAAAGTTTGACAGCATCTTGGAGAGTTCAATTGTCTCATTTCACTCTAACCTCTTTAAGCTGGAGTATTTTCTTTTCTTACATTCGCAAATCACACGCTACTACTAGACAGTGAGGGCAAGTTCTCATGAGCTTAAGTCGACATTACTGGCGCAATCACGTGATAAAATGAATGGGTTTTATTGGTGAAATATTCGGCTGGATATTTTACCCATCAAATTACATCATATTATCACTTGATTACGCCAGAAATGTCAACTTACGCTCATGAGATATCGCCCTGAAATGTATATTACTTGAATGGAATGGCACCAGCATTTATCACGCCTGAGGCAAATTTTTAATGGAGTAAAAGGGGTAGCCGTCTTTGTC